TATCTTAAAGCCTGATATTTGTATTGCTGCGAAGAGTTTCTTTCATTCTGGCCACTTATTAAAAAATTGAAAGCACACTATCATTACTCTTATTCCCAAGTGCTTATATCCAGAAACCTTATCACATTTCAGACCCATTAGTCTATGTAGTGTGCTGTACAAACTCATTGCTAAGCTGTTGGCAGATTAAACCATGTTTAGATGCTTGTATCAGTCAATCTCAGACTGTTTTTGTCCCTGGAAGATACTTACTTGATAATGTGGTCATTGCTCATGAGGTGTTCCATTTGTTGCATAGACATAGAACACGACCTAATGTATTTATGGCTGTAAAGTTGGACATGGAGAAGGCTTATGACAGGGTGGAGTGGGAGAGTATTAGACACACTATGATTAAGATGGGATTTCATGCTAAATTTGTTCAGTGGGTTTACAGTTTCATATCTTTTCCTACTTTCTCCTTCAACCTGAATGGCTCTGTTGTGGTTATGTGACTTCTTCAAGGGGTCTTAGACAGGGTGACCCACTGTCACCCTATCTATTTATTCTGGTTTTTGAGATATATTCTGCTTATATCCAATTCAAAATTAACTCAAACCAGTTCAAGGGGATTAAGGTGTCTCAGAATATCCCTATGGTGTCACATTTACTGTTTGCTGATGTGCTTTGGTGTTTTGTAAGGCTGATGAGAGTCATGTGTCTATCTTGCTGGAGATTCTGCATAAATACCAGGTATTCACTGGTCAGAAGGTTAACTTGCATAAGTCTTCTATGTTTCTGAGCAAAAATTGTCCTGGGGTGCTTAAAGATAGAATATGTGCTATGATGCAAGGCATTGTTGTTAAAAGGTCTTCTAGGTATCTTGGACTCCCCCTCGGGATTGGAGCATCTAAAGTAGATACATTTCAATTTGTAGTGGAGGCTGTGAGGGATAGAATTGGCAGTTGGAAAAACAATTTTTTGTCCACAGTTGGGAAGGAAATTCTTGTTAAAACTATTCTTCATGCTCTTCCAGTATTTGTTATGTCTTGTTTTATTTTGCCTGCCAAGCTGTGTCATGATGTGTGCAGGGTGATAGCTAAATTTTGGTGGGCCAAGGGTGATGTTCAGACTAAAGGCATGCACTGGCTAGCTTGGGATAAACTGGCTATTCCAAAGGGGGATGGAGGTTTGGGCTTCCAAGATATTAGGCTGTTTAATAGAGCATTAATCCTAAAGCAATAGTGGAGAATCACTGAGCAACCTGACCTGCTGATGAGTAGAGTATTGAGACGTAAGTACTTCCCTCAATGCTCCATCTTTGACTGTAAGAAAACTGGTGGAGCTTCTTGGCTGTGGAATTCTTGGGCCACACTGCTACCTGATTTGCAGAAACAGGTTAAGGTCATCATTAAAAATGTAGAAAATACCAAAATCAGTGATGGGAATTGGGTACCTGGGTTGAGAAAATGGACTCCTACTCTGAGGACTGAAATAAATGGTAACATGTTTCTGGTCAAAGATCTTCTCATTCCCGGGGGAGTGCATTGGGATGCTAACCTTGTCAATGCACTGTTTGAATAGGAAGATGCAACTCTTATTTTGCATATTAAATCACTTAATCCAAATGTTGTTGATCAGTGGAAGTGTGAGTTCCAGTGTAAGGAGAAATTTTTAGTTAAGAAGGTCTATACTTGGCTTTTATCAACCAAAGTATCTGAGAGGGCTGTGGGTGAATGCAGCAGAATGGCTGAGGAGAATGTAAGAGCTAGAAGAAGGTGCTGGGATCTGGGAGTTATGGGAAAGGTTAAACATTTCATTTGGAAATGTTTACCAATATCTTACCTGTTAATTGCAACTTAGCTAGAAGAGGTATGGAGGTTGATACTGTCTGCAGAGTTTGTGGGGAGGATGAGGAGACCATGGAACATACTCTTTTCATGTGCAGGAGGGCAAGGATCACTTGGCAGTTTGCACCAGTGGACTGGGACATAAATAAGATGGACAACATAAACTTTAAAGAGTGGTGGTGGTGGATCTCTACAATGAACTTCAAAAGCACTTCTGAAGATAGGATCCAACTATCCACTTACATTTTGTAGTGGTTATGGCGAGCTCGAAACTTATGGGTGTTTGAGAAGCAGTGGCACAAAGAGATGTGGATAGTCCAGACTGCCACCAGGGATTGGATGGACTTCAAAGCTAGCAACCTCAAGGAGTAACATAGAGCCAGATGAATAGGTTAGGTCCAGTGTCAGTGGCCTATTGGTCTGTCTTTGTCTGTGATGATTTGAAATGTTTCATGTCAAGTTTTATTAGCCATTGTATTTCTGGTTATAGGTTTGGGGTCAGTCTGAACTTGGTTAGTCTAGTTTCTTGTGTCCATTGTTGGTGTAGGTGATGGTTATGTGTTTGTATGTTCAATTAGGAAGCTATGATAGCTCTTCTCTCAGTTACCCAGGCTTCGGGGATTCCCCGTGTACTATTGTTTTTATTTTGGTTATTTATGAGATTTGCTATCGTTGGAAAAAAAAGGTTTAATATAATCTCACCTTAAAACCTTCTAATGGATTACATAAACACCTACTTCAATTAATCTTGGTGGCGCGATTAATNATCATAATATAAATCTGATATTCTAGAGATACGATATAATAAAAGACATAATACGATATAAAAATATACCAGATATATATAAATCTTCTCTCATAAGTAGGGCTGTAAACGAGCCAAACCGAGCTCGAGCTTAAGGTGCTCGAGCTCTTAACGAGCCAGACATCGAGCTCGAGCTCGGCTCGTTAAGGCCTCGAGCTCGAGCGTTCTCGAGCTTTAACGAGCCGAACTATAAAAATTTATATAAAAATTATATTTTTGAGCCTTAACGAGTCTTATCGAGCCGAGCCGAGCTCGACTCGTTAACTAAATGAGCTTTAAATGACCCCGAGCTCGGCTCATTAAGGCCTCGAACTCGAGTGCCAGACTCGTTTAATTTAACAGCACTACTCATAAGCTTCAGTACGAGGTGTTAGACCTATCCCTCCCATATATTAATTCAAAACGTATTGAGCCTAAGTGGCAGGCTCACACGCTTTTAATTCTGACATGGCAGAAATCTGTGCTTCAAAATGTTGTTTGTATATTAATTTTTTTACTTTGGAATTAGACTTGGTATAGACATAAATAACTTTTTTCAAACTTGGTAATGTACATTTAATTTTGTTATTTTTTTTTCTCTTAGTACAAATTTTCTTCTTAATTTGGGCAAGTAACAATCTTACCATCTGATAATTTTCTCATATTTCTCTCCTAAATTACGATTTACAAATAACTTTCTGCGCTGTCTATTCTTTTTTTTTTTATTAATCAGTCCATCAAAATTTTTAAATAAAATTTTTATTTTAGCAATAACTTTTATAATATATTTTTTAACTCAACACCCGTGTAATACACATAGAGCTGTCAAAACGGGCCGGCGAGGTGGGCTGGCCTGTAAAAAATTAAGCCCAATTAACCACATTTTTTTAATACGTTACCTATCCCAATTCAACAAACTGTTTATAATGTAATTATTTGTTCAGTAGATCATTTCGACCCAAATGTTTATATTTGATGGTAATTATAATAAATTCCGCACATATTTTATTATTCCTTATTTGTTTGAAGGTACTGTTCAAGTTTCTTTCATGATCTCTTATGCTATGACGATCAACAAGAGTCANTTTAGTTTTTTTTCGTCGAAGCTCAGAAACGCCTATTATTAGAGCATCTCCAATGTGACTTTTGACATTATAAAAAATTATCCGTATCATCAACTTTTGAAAGTTTGTTATTAATTTATTCTCCAATGCATCTTGTCATTAGCTCTTTCATGATGATGTGGATGACATTTAATGTTGACAATGTTGAACCCACTTTCTAATATCTAACATCATGTTAAACATGATGACTCATTAATTCACTTTATATTTTATTTAATTTTTTATTATTCTTGTATCAATGAATTATTATAATTGGTCTACCTATACAAATAACTTCTTATCAAATTGATGCATTGGGGATACTATTTTAATTAAAATTTTAGTCTTTTAACATTATTCCTATGTGGATTAACATGCAATCATTAATTGACATGTCTTAAAAATTATTGTCTTCCAAAATCATAGCATTGGAAATGCTCTTATATACGCTAGTTATATGCTCAAATTTCCTATAAACTCTCGATTAGTTTAGAGGGCGATTGTATACAAGTTGTACAGTAAAAAAACTAATCAAAACTAAAATTTAACTCAACTCCACTATCTCTAATATTATTAATATAATTAAAATATCAACTAATCATTCTTACACATCACATCAACTTTAATTCACTATTCATCAACTTTAACTCACTATTAATCTACTCATATAATTTTAACTAACTATCACTTCTAATCATTTTCTCCTACTTTTATATCAAATTAATTTTAATTATTTTATTTTAAATATTATTTTAATATATCTAGTAACAACTAACCATACTATCTTTTTTTTAAATTAATTATAATTAAAAAATAATTAAATTTTTATTAGTTAGAATTCATATCCAATCACGCCTTTACGGTGCACATGTCTTGCATCATGTGGTTAAAGGTGACACGGAACTAAACCCATTTTCAGACTTTCAGTCAACTTTTCTTTGTATTTTCCTATCTCATCTTCTTATCATACCTCCGCGGGCCCCTGCTCCAGAAAAATGCTACTCATCTTTACGACTTTACCTTCACCCACAAGCAGCACTCTCGCTTCCGTGCTACCCATCTATCCACCTGCCACGTCACCAAAACCGCGACCAAACAGAGGAAAATAGTGCAACCAAGTGTGTCTTTATCACGCCTTCGACTCCCACCAAATTAAAACACCTCAGAATCAACCTCTCCCCGTTGAGACTCCCAAATCACAATCCCCAAATGGCCTAACAGACTTCAAATTACAAAAATACCCCCTTCTCTCTCCAATTTCCCCAAATCCCTTTCTCTCTCTCCATGGAGAACTACGCTTACAACGCTTCCTACCCCGAGTCCGGCGGCTCATCGCCGCGCTCCCGAGAGATCGACTTCGAGAACCCGCCGCCCTGGGAGGAGTCGTCGCAGGGCGTCCAGCCGCCGCCGAACTACCGGGTCAAGTTCATCTGCAGCTACGGAGGGAGGATCCTCCCCCGGCCGAACGACAACCAGTTGTCGTACGTCGGTGGCGAGACGAAGATCCTCGCCGTCGATCGGGGCATACGGTTCGCCGCCCTGTTCGCGAGGCTGTCCGCCATGTGCGACGGCGGCGAGGGCATCTCGTTCAAGTACCAGCTACCCGGCGAGGATCTGGACGCTCTCATCTCGGTGACCAACGACGACGACCTCGAGCACATGATGCACGAGTACGAGCGGCTGTGGCGAGCCTCCCCTAAGCCGGCGAGGCTGCGGATCTTCATCTTCCAGGCGCCGATCCAGAGCCTGAGCTCCTCCACCCGGAGCTTCGGCTCGGACGAGGTCAAATCGGAGAAGGAGAGGTTCGTCGAGGCGTTGAATTCGGCGCCGATTACGGCCGCGCCGCCGCGGGAGGCGTCCCCCTCGGCGTCGCACACGCCGCCGCCGCCGACGGCGGCGGCGGTGGCAGCGAGCAAGGTGGATTTCCTGTTTGGTCTAGAGAAGGCGAGCGCGCCGCCCTCGCTAAAGCCAATTACGGGTAGAGTTGCTGACGTGGAGGATCCGATTGTCGCACCGGGTATGGATGAACGGTTTATCGGGTTGGATCCGATCCAGAAGCACATCCAGGATCTACAGAGGTTGAGGCTTGAGGAGCAACATGGAGTTCACCAAAGGAAGAGTGATGATAATCTCGGCGGGATGCCCGTTGGAGGCGAGTACTACAGGGCGCCGGAGAGACTCCCTCCGGCGACGGTTCACGGCGGGGTTCCCTACTGGGTGGAGAACCAGGTCCCCGGCGGATTCTACCCAGCAGCAACCACCGTCAACAAGGAGCAGCCGGTTTACATGATCCCACCTCCATCGAGTGCGTACCACGCGCCGCCGGTTGCGAGGCCGTTGGCCGGAGTGCCGGCTCAGGGATATTACGCAGTCCCGAGGATGCCAACGGAGATCTACCGCGACCAGCAGCCGCAGCTGCAGATGCAGATGCACAACATGGTCCCGCAGGCGGCGGGATATACGGAGGGCTTTGGGATGGTCACGCAGGCCGGGTACTCGCCGGTGGCGTACGACGGCGGCTTGGGGAGGCAGGTGATGTATGCTGCGCCGGGGGGAGTGATTGGAGCGCCGGTGCAGACGGCGGCGCAGTATCAAACGACGGCCAGCATGGATGTGCGGCAGGGCGGCCCAATGGTTCCGGAAAGTGCCGGTAAGGGTGTTGTAAAAGTTACTCAAACCTCCGTGTGAATGCGGAAATTACTTGGCTAGTTATAGCTTGTTGCGTGTTATATGGTAATACTGATATACTATTAATTATGTATCGAATTTGAATGCTTTATACAATTTGGATTTGGGTGTTATTCTTAGCGTACTTTAACATGTGTTAAGTCATGGTTCTTTTCTTTTTCTCCTTCAAGGAGTGTTGCTTAATTTCTGGAATTGTATCCAATTCAAACAACTCGAAATTTAATCATCTTCTGTTTCACGATGAGAACAAACGAAAAGTGTAAGAAAAGAAAAAAGCAAAGGAAAAGAAATTTGAAATATTTGTGGACCGCTCCCCAATTCATTGGAACCAGAAAGGAGGCTTTTTTTCTTAGGCTTTACAAATTGGCGCGCCTAATGCATAATCATGGCCCGCGGCAAGCTTCATGGGAATTGAAAATCTCTGTTCCCCTGCTTTGGTACAAACTTCTTAGAAATTGAAAATTAGGTTGACAATAAAAATAAAAAGATAACAAGTGGATACTCACTTGTATTGTCAACCTAGCTGTGCACTAGGTTGACTATGTATTATTTTTCAAAGTTGTAAGAGCATCTCCAACGCTATAGCTTCTATAGATTTGAAAGATAATGATTTTTAACACATGTCTATCAATAATTGTAATATTAATTTATAACCTAGCTGTGCACTAGGTTGACTATGTATTATTTTTCAAAGTTGTAAGAGCATCTCCAACGCTATAGCTTCTATAGATTTGAAAGATAATGATTTTTAACACATGTCTATCAATAATTGTAATATTAATTTATATAAAAACACAACGTGAAATGTCGATTAAGGCCTCTTGAAGTTAAGAAGTATAGGGGGTACACACCTTCACCCGATCAGTTTTTTTATTATAATTTTTTATTATAATTTTTATTTAAAAACTACACACCTACCCAATCATAAAAATTACACACCTACCCAATCATAAAAAATGCAAAATTCCAAAATCCGACTTTCTTTAGGATTTCTTGAGTTTTCTAAAGGTCATTTATCTCAAAGAAGCTTCAAAAAAGAAGTTTCTCAAAGAAAAGAAAGGGAATAGCTCCTGTGATTCATTTTGAGTCATTTTTTCCAATACTGTAGGTGTAAAATATTCGCAAATTAAAAATTTCAAATGTCAGGAATTTTGGGCCGGTTTAGAGCCACTTTAAAGCCCATCAGTTATGATTCCATTTTATCGCAAAATGCCAAAAGTTAATCTCTTTCTAATGGTCCTCTTCAGCCAAAAACACTCTAATGTAAAAATGACCTTCAAAACAAGGTCATTTTCAAGAAAACAACGTGAAATGCCGATTAAGGCCTCTTGAAGTTAAGAAGTATAGGGGGATACATAGGGAAGAATTATAAGGGAATTTGGAAGGGCTTAAATGACCTTACAGTTAGCATTAAGACTCAGGCAAAATCAAAAGGGAAAAAATGACCTTTTTTTGAAGGTCATTTTTACATTAGAGTGTTTTTGGCTGAACAGGACCATTAGAAAGAGATTGAGTTTTGGCATTTTGCGAGAGAAAATTCATTCAAAAAGCGGCGAAATAAAGGCCTATTTTCCTATCCAAAATTCCTGAGATTTGAAATTTTTGATTTGTGAAAAATTTACACCTACAATATTGCAAAAAATGACTCACAATGAATCACAGGAGCTATTCCCTTTCTTTTCTTTGAGAAACTTCTTTTTTGAAGCTTCTTTGAGATAAACCAATTGGATATAGAAAAAGAGCACGAACAAAGCTGGCATCGTGCGTGATGTTGAGGGACCAAAAGATGCATTCTTATTCACTCTCAGAGGGCATTCTTGCTAAGTCATGGTACGCGATCTGCCCGCTACTGGTGCTGTGGGAGGCGCTTCCGTACACATACATGGATAAATAGATCAAGGGAGCTAGCTGGCAAGCTATCGTCCAGCCGCCGAAGCACCATTTGAAGAGGTTTGGAACCCAAACCCCGTCCAATAGGTTGTCACCTGTAATGGTTTCATTTCTCATTTCTTCAGAGTTGAAGAAAAGGCTACCGATTTCCCACTCATCAAGGCTGAACATAAGTAAAGTAAACTATTGCCTCAGTATTTCATTCCTGAAGCTTGAAAGCTGAAGAGAAAGACTTAGAGATTCTTCTTCTTCCCACTCGATTCAAAGCCTTCAGACTCACGCTGGTATCGCCCCCACATGTTCGGACACACGTCATCGCATCCTTGTACATATCCTTGATGAGGGTAACCTATAGCTTGTGCTTCTGCTAAGATGACCTTTGTAGCACCCGAGCCTGTAGCTCGGGCTTCTTCGACGATGACCTTTGCAGCACCCTAGCCTGTAGCTCGAGCTTCTACTACGATGAACTTTGTAGCACCAGAGCTTGTAGCTCAGGTTTCTGCAACGATGACCTTTTGTAGCTCGAGCTTCTGTCACGTCTCTTTGTGACACTCGAGCCCATTAGTTCGAGCTTCTGTCACATGTTCATGACACTTGAGCATATGGCTCGAGCTTCTACCACGTCTCTAAGTCTCTATTTGTCACTTGAGTCTATAGCGCGAGCTTTTCCACGATGTAGTTTGTGACACCCGAGACTATGGCTTGAGCTCGAGCTTCTGCACCACAATGCTCATTTCTCTTTCTGACACTCGAGCCTATGACTCAAGCTTCTGCCACGTTTACCTATGACACCCGAGCCTATTAGCTTGAGCTAGCGCTGTTAAATTAAATGAATCTGGCTCGGTTTGGCTCGAGTTCGAGACCTTAACGAGCTGAGCTTAAACTCATTTAAAACTCGTTTGGCTAACGAGCCGGCTCGGCTCGACATTAGGAGAAAAAAGAAAATGATTCTGTTGATATGGATGGTATGAACTGCCCAAAAAAGAATTCTTAAACGTTTCTATTCTTGTCTTGGATCCACAATTTATGCAAGCAAAAATTCGCCCTAATCAAAACAGAATTTTTATATTATTTTTTATAATTCGCCTCATTAAAGCTCGAGCTCGGCTAGGCTCGTTTATAGCCCTAGCTCGAGCTTCTACCACGTCTCTATGAGACACACGAGCCTATTAGCTCGATCATTGTCAAACGGGGGCAAAACGAGTGCGGTCCCACACAGGTGAAGCGCACCATACGAGGGTTAGCTCAAATGAAACCCAAATGAGGTTCCAACCCAAAACCAATTGGTGATGGGAGGAGTAGTCCACTAGGCTTATAAACTAGGCTCATCTACCCTATCAAATCAATGTGGGACAACTCACAAGTGATATTCCAACACGCCCCTTCACTTGTGAGTCCTTCTCATCAGCCCACGCCTTCAACCAAGTCGGGTACATTTTTTCAACCCACGCCTACAACCAGGCTGGGTACTTTGTTTATTTTTTATTTTTATTTTTTTTTATCACAGGTCCCAAATTAGGCCCGCTCTGATACCATGTCAAACGGGGGCAAAACGAGTGCGGTCCCACACAGGTGAAGCGCACCATAAGAGGGTTAGAGGCGACGGCTCTTCCCCAAGAAGTAAAGAGACGACTTCAACTCCTCTCAAATCAATCCAAGAATATCAACGAAGTTCAAACGACATTCAAGCCGCGTTCGTTGAGAAGTTCAACCAGCATAGCGTTTGATCGGAGAAAAAGCTATCAAACCCTCGAGTCGACGTTATTCAAGTCAAAATCCTTCTTTCAAGAAGATCAAAATCAAGTACTCCAAGAAGTCTTCTTGAACAAAGTCAAGGCCTAACATTTAACATGGAATAAGTCATTCGACCCCCAAATTAGTGTTAGAGAAATTGAATCTCAAGCATGAAGGAGATTCAATCGTCAAATCCATTTTTCAAAATCTCAAGTTCAGATCTAAGAAGAGAAGAATCAGAGGAGACATATAGAGATTGTAACCACAATATCGCTTGATCAAAATAAATCAAGTTGTACAAAAGCTTTATGTTTTCCATAAAATTTGTTACAAGTTTTTCGATGTCTACAATTATATGTACGGGTTTTATTAAATTGACTAGTAAAAAATTCACAGGTAGTTGTTGAGAAATTTATATTTAAAATTAAATAATAATAACAACAAAAATTATTTTAGTTTTCAAATATTTTTTTTTAAAATATATTATTATTTTGATACTCTTCAATTTGGTAATCGAATTTTCTCTACATTCTCACTTGGTGGGTTGGGATATAGAAGAGGATGTGAAAGACTTACATTTTTCTAAAATACCAACTAAGCATAAATAATCACAATGTTCAATATCACATATTGCATCATAGTTTTATTGTGAAGATACAACAATTTATTAATATGCAGTAACCAAAGCCTACGAATTTTGGACAAACAAATGGTATAGACTAAAACAATGGACCCACCAATGCAATTTCCACACCTTTCTCAATCCTTTGTAAATATCAAGTCCTCAGTTTGTGGGATTAAGGCAATTTTCTTGTTTGCAATAATAACAATATTCTATGCAACCGATTTGGATTATGTATTCCATTATTCAGTGGTGGACATTATAATGTGCATTAGTGAATGACTAAAACGTAGCCTATAGTCTATAAACAGTGGTTTATGTAATAAATTAATGATACTACTGAAAGATCCTTTTTCTATATAGTTTCTTTTTGTAGTTTTGTGATTAGTTAGTCGTAGGATTAAATAATTAAAACGCGAATGACTCCTAAGTTTAGTGTCACACATAATGGCATATTGGCATCTCTTTAGTTGACTCAACAATAAAAATACATCAATAATTAAAATTATATGACCAGTTCAAAGCCTCAAGTCACGCTGTCCCACTCAATCGTTGACACAAATAATTTATTATGAGATAAAATATTGTGGACATGTGCCTAATTGCACTCTTGTGAATAATTGGTCCTCTATGAAAAGTAACAGTTAGACATAAATTTTGATAAAAAGTTTGACATGATTTGTAATTGAAAGAGCTGGTGATTTTAGGATGATTGTGATTATAAAATGCTACTTATAACATTAAAAATTTGACAAGAAATTTATCATCAATGATATGTAATTATAGAAAATGTTGATTGAGACTATAACTAGTTTTAACTCATGCATTTGAACGAAAATAATATAATTAAGAGAAAAGTAATGGAAAATACAGACAAAAATAAAAATCATACTTTATCAATGAGAAAAAAAATAATTTAAGAAAGCGAATCTAAATATTATTAAATACTTTTTTATATACAGCATTCGTGGTTTTTCTATCGTCAGAATCCCCCATCACCACAAATTATTATCTTCAAACCTCTCTCACTCATGACTCTAGAAAAAGCCACGTACAACTGCTCATGACTGAACACATGACTCTTAAGTAGTAAGCCGAAGTGCGACAGAGCCTGAGCTTTTGACTCTTATTGATCGTCATAGCATATGAAACAATGAGAGGAAACTACCTGCGCTGAAACTTGAATGGAATTCTCAAATCCGATGGCATGATTGTGAGCCTAGGAATATGAACTTTATTACCAGCTCTAGCACTGGTTAAAATTCTGCATTCGAGGACATGACTGTTGAACTTAGTAATAATCAAACGTTTACCGTTGCACACCCATGGAGTGATCAATGTTTCTGAGTAGCATCATTGAAATGTCGACATTCAAGTACAATTTATGATTCGGAAGTCCCGATCACTTAATTCCATTGAGAAATTTAGAAGTATGAAGATCTTGAAAAGAGTCATATCCAACGTCTGACTTGCAAGGGGTGTCCAAATTCAAATAAGTCCTTCTCTCGAATGAGTTCAAATAGCTCATGTACTCGTTAATGGACTCAACAACATCAACTATAAGAGTGACTATGGCTTTGTCCTTGAGATAGCCAAGATCGTCGCTTGAACTCCTGAACATCGGGTAGGTACTCTCAATAATAATAGAAATATATAGAATCCTCGTGTGCAATGGGTGGTCATACCGGTCTAGCCACTGGTACGCGGTATTACCGGTCGGACCGGTAATATCGGTGGTATTACCGGACTAGCAAATATAATGATATATATAAATATACATAAAAATATATAATACCAAATGCAAAAAAGAGTAAAAAAAATAAATGACCATAATCATTAATTTCAACTTCTCAATGAGATAAAAATAAAATATTTTAACTACCAATTTAAATTTAATATTTTTATATTAATTAATTTTATTTTTTTTTATTTTTTTTAATTATTGACCGGTAGTTTGGACCGGTATTTTTCGGTATTTACGGTATGATTTCGGTATAAACCTGTATAGCCGTAAATTCGGTATTTTAAGTGTAATTGTACTGTACCAATGGCCGGTATCTGGTATTATCGGCCGGTACGGTACGGTATTTAAATCATTGCCCGTGTGATTTTGAAGAATATCGTTGAGAATGTCGATATCGCCACAACCGTCGTTCGATCCATCGATTGTACCGATGCCAATGCATGAATGCCACTTCGAGAAGCGCATCACCTCATCGTACTCATCACCCCCACCAAGGCTTCGAAGCCTCATATTTCGAGTCAGTTTCATAATGAAACAGTCGCGTCATATATAATGGGAGATGTTTAGGTAATAATTTTATTAAATAGGATATCTACGATAATTTATCTTATTTATTAGATGATCACACAGATATATAATTTTTAATTTTATTATATTATGAAATCATTAAGTTTACAAAAAAAAAAAATTATTTTGTTTATTATTAAAAATCAGTCAAATCATGTAGATGGCTGATGTATAGGGGTTAATTGAGCATGATTTGTGTTTTAGCTAAAAGTGTAAATATCAATTGGTGCAAGGATTTGTATTCTAAATGATTTTTTTTTTTAATACTATGAATTGTATATTTATATAATTATTATTTCTTTTACATGTGAGTAATCAACATACAAATTAAAAAAAAAATTATTGTCATTCAAACTTAATAGTTTAAACATTATCTCGTTACTATGCAACAATTTCCTTACAACCAAATATAGAAAAAATTACATGAGTGTGATACATTTTTAAACAAATTATTATTAGAGAAATAAAAAGTGGCAATCCTAATTCGTCCGTTACATACCATAAAAGTAGGCAAAAATAGATGGTTGATTGCTGGATAAGATTAAAAGATAAAAAAAAAAAAAAAAATGTGATGTT